TGATAATCCTTCGTTTGGTGTTTTAGCTAGGTAATCTGGTTTTGGTGCTGTTTTCGGATAAGAATTGGAGTTTAAGCTCAGCAATCTGTGCTAGATTCAATACATACTCGGATTATAGAGATAAACTTCAATTCTTACAAGAGAACAACACCAAAAGAGCAATGAAACTGCGTCTATTTGATGATCTTTCTCTTTCGGAGTTGATTTGTGTTAAATTTTGCAGGCTGGATTTGCTGGAGATGATGCTCCAAGGGCCGTGTTCCCTAGCATTGTGGGTCGTCCACGCCACACTGGTGTGATGGTTGGTATGGGACAAAAGGATGCATATGTTGGTGATGAGGCTCAATCCAAGAGGGGTATTTTGACACTGAAATACCCAATTGAACATGGCATAGTTAACAACTGGGATGATATGGAGAAGATCTGGCATCACACTTTCTACAATGAGCTTCGTGTGGCCCCGGAAGAGCACCCTGTTCTCCTCACAGAAGCACCACTCAACCCCAAGGCCAACCGTGAGAAAATGACACAGATTATGTTTGAGACCTTCAACACTCCAGCTATGTATGTTGCCATTCAAGCAGTGCTTTCCCTTTATGCTAGTGGCCGTACAACTGGTAAATATAATGATTCTTCATTTTCTGTATTTCCCTTTTCTTGGTTCCTGGTAATTTGGGGCATGGTGCATCACTTGTGTTTTATTAGAATCTCAGGATGATTTTCAAATGAATGTAGTTTAGTTGTTAATATGAAATTGTATGAACTAATCAATTGAGTTTCGTTCTTTTATTTTCAACATCTTGTGGAAATTATTAATAATATCATACATTCTGTTCGTTTTGTCATGATTGCAGATTCTCATAAATGTTAAGTGAGAGTATGAGATCCCAGGAACTTGCAATATATGCTTTGTCATCGTATAGCTTGACATTGAGATAGATTTTGAGGCATCATGCATGGTATTTGTTGATGTCATGCCACTTGTATTTCATTAGAATTTCAAGATGGATTTCTAATGAATATAGCTCAAATCTCCATATGAAATTGTATATAATAATCTAATCAATCAAGTTTTTTGGCTTACTTTTTAAACATTTCATGGGAATTAATAATGTCATACATTCTGTTCATTTCATAACCAGTGCAGATTTTCATAAATGTTAAGTGAGATTATGAGATCTAATGGACTTGCAATATATATTTTGTCATATAAGGGATTTTGAGGCATGGTGTTTGTTGATGTCATGCCACTTGTAGTTCATTAGAATTTCAAGATAATTTTCTAATGGATAAGTTTAAATGTCAATATGAGACTGCATATACTAGTCTAACCAATCCAGCTTTATTTGTTTATTCATAAAAATCTTGTGGGAATTAATGAAGTCCTACATTCTGTTTATTTCACAATTAGTGCAGATTTTCATGAATGCTTAGGGAGAATATGAGATTAAAACAGGTTAAAAATGTGGATTTTAACTTTTTATGTTTTCATATAGGTATTGTTTTGGACTCTGGTGATGGTGTCAGCCACACAGTTCCAATCTACGAAGGCTATGCCCTACCACACGCAATCCTGCGTTTGGACCTTGCAGGGCGTGATCTCACTGATGCCCTCATGAAGATCTTGACCGAGCGTGGCTACTCTTTCACCACCACCGCTGAGAGAGAAATTGTGAGAGATGTCAAGGAGAAATTAGCCTATATTGCTCTTGACTATGAGCAAGAGCTAGAAACAGCTAAAACAAGCTCAGCTGTTGAGAAGAGCTATGAGCTACCTGATGGACAGGTGATCACAATCGGCGCCGAAAGATTCCGTTGCCCTGAAGTACTCTTCCAGCCATCCATGATTGGGATGGAATCTTCTGGCATACATGAGACCACATACAACTCCATCATGAAGTGTGATGTTGACATCAGGAAGGACCTCTATGGTAACATTGTGTTGAGTGGTGGTTCAACAATGTTCCCTGGCATTGCTGATAGGATGAGCAAGGAGATCACAGCATTGGCACCAAGCAGCATGAAAATTAAGGTGGTGGCACCACCAGAGAGGAAGTACAGTGTCTGGATTGGAGGTTCTATTTTGGCATCCCTCAGCACCTTCCAACAGGTACAGCACTTGGCTTCAACTACATATGAATGAAATTTTTGAGGTTCAGGGAATTCTATTTGATGAATATATAAATACCAATAAAATTAAGAGAATAGAAAACATGAGGGATTAACCAACATAATATTAAATTAAAAGGAAGGAAACTAGTTTAAATTAAAATGGATGTGAAACAAATGTAATTTGTAAAGGCGTTTATGATAATGGTACAACTTTGTTTTAGCCTCCCTTCTCCTTAAAAGAAGCTTCTGTATTAACTTTTGTGAAAATCCCTTTCAGTTTTCTCACTAAAAAATTTACTTTATTTTCTAAAATCTTTTTAAAATTATATATGTTTGGTTCAAATTTTTAAGAAAAGAACCCCAAAAAAAATAAAAGTTGTGCTAAACACTATCTTATTACTAATCTGATCCTTTCTCTGATAACACTTCCATGTATTTCTGATCTTTTTCCTTTCCTGAGAGCAGATGTGGATTGCAAAGGCAGAATATGATGAATCAGGCCCCTCAATTGTTCACAGGAAATGCTTCTAATGATGCAGAGAATCCGGGAAATTATAATATATACTCCGTACTACAGAAATACCATATACTGGTTGAGGAAGTTTCATTTTCCATTTTTTTACCATTTATTAACCATGTTTCTGTGTTTTCCTTTATTGATATGTTGGGATAAGAGCATTGAAACAAAGCATATATAAGATTCTTTTTTTTCTTCATTACCATTTTGTTGTAGAAGAGCTGTGTATTGTATTGATTTGATTTGATTTGGTTGAATCAAATTCTCTCAAGTATTTTGATTAGAATAGTGATATGTATTTGATTTATTATGATGTGAACAAGAAGTCATTGTTATTCACGGCCCAATCTTTTATCATAATAATTGATATTCTGCCAACTTTGCATGTGATATCATGATAAAATCATAAAAGTTATTACAGTGCATTTTCTATTTTGTGAGTTCATTTTTCTCCTGGACTTAAAGAAATTTAAAACAAAAATGAGTCATGTGGGGAGCATGAGTTTCCACCATTTCAGTCACAATAAAGCCATGCAGAAGAATAACAATTTGCCACGTATGAGGATTCGAGAACAAGATCACCAACCTCACTGGATAAGAGAATGAGATCACAAGCCATTGGAGCTCACAATTTATCTGTAAAAGGTTACAACTTATAAAATAAACTTTGTATCAAGAAAGATAAATTCGTGAAAAGGAAGGCTAATACACAATTTCGGAAGAGAGAAGTTTGTTGTAAGGACTAAAGGAACTTACCAGAAAAAAAAAATGAAGAATTACCTACTTAAAATTAACAAAAAAAAAAAATGCTAACTTGAGCTTAAACATCCATAAATCCATTGTGACTATGTGTGGTCGATATTAATTAGAAGCTTATATTCATTAAAAAAATGTCAAACTTCTGTACGTGCACTACTTAACTTCTCTTAGAATAAACAGTCAAACAATTTCATAACAACTTGTGGGAGAAGGAAATAAAAAGTAAAATAAATTGACTTTCTGTTAAGGTAAAATCAACTTATGCACTTAAAGTTTAATGATTAAATTGCCACCTAGTATCAAGTGGTTTTCTAACATTAAAAAAATGGAATCTTATGCTAGGAAAATGTGACAAGCCAGAGCCGCCATCACCATTTACTTTCTCTCAATACGAGAATCATATAAGTTTTACAATTAGTGAGAGCTGACACAAGAAAATTGACGAGTGTGCGGTCTTAAAAGAATCCTTGTATTCACAACACTGTATGATGATGATAACTTACCACTTGCACTGAAAAGTAGTATCTTTTGTTTAATTGATCGATGACAGAAAGTGGGTTGGAATGCCACTAGGATTAAAATGAAGCATTTGATGTACGTTACCACAGTTTTTTTTGGTACACCATATGTTCTTGACAAATCATTGAAACAATTTTTTTTTTGTTGTTGTATATTAACATGCAAATGCTTGAATAGTTAACATTGTAACATTGTCTGTGCATAATCTATTATATATATATAGTTATTGAATATTTTGATAACTTGTGAAAGTAACAATGTCAGTAATTTCCTCAACATGATAATTATGTTATGTGTGTATCTGTGCTTCTGTTAAGTTACACGTAAAATGAATCCAAATCCAATACTACTCTTCTTTTTACTATTTTGGTATTAAAGAGTAAAAAAAAATGTCCTTTCAACATTAGTAAAACGGATTTGATTGTTTCAGAAATAAGTGATAAAAAAGAATAAATAAAAAAAAACAAAAAAGCATCTAGAAAGATACTATTTAAGCGTATTTTATGCTCACTTTAGGTTAATTTCAACTTTGGACTTCTTTATCATATGTAATGTTAACGTGACAACACAGTTTCCCGAGCATTATATATCCAAAATCCACCATTAAATTTTCATACAACTTTTTTTCCATCCATCTAAATAGAACTTGATACTTAAGAAATTACGAAAACTGACGAACCTTCCTCATCTAATTGAAGCTAGACCCGTTGATAGTTTTCATACAACTTTACATCTCAATGCTAGAAAGTATTCCACTAAAGAAGGCATAATGTCATGTTTGATGTTTACGGTACTAGAAAGTATCTATAGTAAAAGTACATTTGCTAAATGCTTCAAATTTACGCAGGAAATTTACTTAAATATAATTTTTCAAAAAAGAATTAGAGAAAAAGCAAATTTGAACTTTACTCATAATCAAACAATAAAACCATAGTTTGGAAGTGGGACTTACACGCTTCATTCCCAAAAGTGGAAAAAGCAAAGCCACTTTAAAAATTTCTTTCAAAACTCGTAATCAAAAAAGGTTTCCAAAGTTGTGGACACAAGCAAGTATTAGTAGCAAGAGTTAAAACCATGCTTTGGATTATCAACATCATTCAATCAAACAAGGTATAACAGTATATAAACAATCACATTGCAAACTGTACCACCATCCAATAAAGACAAAAACATGTTTCCAATAGACAAGGTATAATTTAAAACTTGAAAGTTAAGCAAGGAAGACCCTTGAGAATGAGAAGATATGTTCAAGATAAACAACAATTAGATGCTGCAAAAATGTCTAGTGAAGTATTGAATTTCTCTTGGCTTCCTTTTGCACAATGAAGCAGAGAAAGTCAAGTTTGTTGGCTACAGTTCTAGAAATGAACCCTGTGATCATTCCAATCCCCGCAAATTTCTAAAATTTGATGGTCCAACTGTGTCAATAAACCCTTTCACAGACAACTCAGGAACTGTAACCTTCTTGCCGCGCAACTCGTGGTCGAAGAACACGACAACCACAGTGATATCATCATGGAAGAAACGCCTGATCCCTTTTCCAATCTTCTGTAGGTCTCTATATCTCATTTCCCTCTTCCTAGCCGCCTCGTTTAATGCTGCCTTAAGAAGTCTTCTTGCAATCCCCTGGTGTTCAAAACATAAACAACATACAATAAGAAAACTTATGGCTTTACAAATCCAATGGCAAAGATGATTGAAGGAAAAAGTGTCATACAGTTCGTGGATTGTTATGAACAATCTCAGCAGCTTCCTGGTTTGTCATGTGTTCCCAGAGTCCATCAGATGCAAAGATAATGAACTTATCATTTGGTCTTAAAACTCTTGAACATACAGATGGTTCTGCTGTCAGCACAGGCCGGCGGATAGGTTCAGGCAGGTGGAACCGTGGGAATGACGGATCAAATGAGAACTCTGGCCGCTTCAAATATGCATCTCCGATAGATCTGGATACCTGATCTCAGTTGTGGGGTGGACAAGAAAACTTATGTTACAATGAGCAACCCCATCCAACACAGCAGGCATCTCATTAATAATTGTCAAAACAATTACATAAGCAAAGACAATGATTAGCAAGGGAGGGAATCAAAATTGAATGCAGCTATAAAGTACTTGTTTAGGTACATAGCTTAATTAAACACCTTTTTAAATAAGAATCTGTTTGGATATAGTCTATAAGGACTTTTGGAGAGCTTCTTTACTGAAAATAAATAGTATTTTCCAGTAGAGAAGTTCTTAAAAACCCTTAAAGGCTTGTATCCAAACATGCTCCAAATACCTTTTAAATATGCAGATCAAATTGTTTTGACATAAGTTGTAAGTTGTTTACATATGGTATCCAGAGAGTTTATTGCAATAAACTAAAAGCAACTTATGGACAGATCATAAGTTATGTCATAAGATAACTGTGAATAAGCTCTTCCAATATGTGATTTGTATAAACCAAAAAAAGGACAAAACTTAAGTATAGTTCTTAAGGTACAGTTGGTGTTATTTTTCGTTCAGAATTGAAATTTTACTTTGATAATATACGTGAATGTATATTAATGAGACCTGTATTAGATACAAATGCATACTACCAAGTAAAATTTTAACTAATTGAAAAACAACACCAACTACACTTAAAAAACTGTACTTAAATTTTATCAAAAAAAGAAGATATTAAACCAAATACAAAACCAAGTAACCCTGGTGAGAGTGAGACACCTTGCTAGGAAACTAATTTATATAAAGCCTCACAAGTATAGACACACGGTAAGAATATAGCATAGAAACAGAAGCAGAAAAACAAAACAACAAAGGCACAACAACAGCAAAAACCATTAACAGAAAATGATTTCTAAAGAGAAAAGAAAAAGAAAACCTGGATGATGCCTTTAATGCGCCAGGTTCCTTGCTTCATAACAACAATTTGTGAATCTTCTGGATGCAGAGACCTGAGTTCTCGCCTAACCTCCTCTTTGCTAGCGTTGTGCTCTTTGGTCAACTGTTCAGCAATGATCTTGTTAGATCTACCCACAGAACCAATTACAGCGCGAGAGTCTCCGAGATTCGCAATATAAAGTGTCCCTTTCCATATAACACCAACCAGACAACAGGAACCCATTGCTGCTATCAATGGCTTTATGCCATAACTTCTTCGAACAAGAGTCAGAAACCCATCCTCGGTAGCAGAAACAGCATTTCTGATAATATCTTCAGAAATATTACCATTTTCTTGAGCAACTCCTGAAATTAGATTCAACATAAAACTTAAATAATTTCTTCCTAAGACAATGCAGTATCCAGGATATGCAAAACAAAAGTAACAATAAGGCAGAAAAAAAGCAAGGTTAATAAAAATATATGCATCACCAGTAAGATAGTAAAAGTGTTTATATATTTGAACTTGCATTACATTGAGCACATAACATTAATTTAGATACAAAAAAAAAAAAAGCAGAAATAAGAGAAATAAAAATTAATAATATGGAATTTCATAAACCTATCAATCCAGAATTAGTAGGAAAATCAATTATTTGCACACATCCTTAATCTCATCACATTATGTGTGCCAATTTTGCAAATATCTTAAATAGTAACGTCATGTAACTTACTCCTAGCAACTCTAAATTACAAATATAATAAGATCACAAATTTCAAATGGCACACTATGGGAAAGGTCTACTTGGTTGAGCAGTTGCCTTGATTTGTACGAGGCCAGGTGAAAATAGAGGACAGTGAAAATAATTATCAACTTATGTTATGCCCAAGGATGAGTACGTGATCTTCAATTCATTCCAAAGTCCAAACATAATATTTGACTATTTGTCCTATCCTCTCTTGGACATATATATGCATAAATATAAGCACACAAATTCAATAATTATTTCCTTCCAAAGAACACCACTAAAAAAGCACAAAAAAAAAAAAGAAGGAAGAATACGACCCCTATTATCTAGGCTTTTGAAAAGTGAAAATTTTTGAAAAGTGAAAACAAATTGAATTTTCCTCAATAGCCGCAAAAACATGCAAAACTAAGAAACCAACAACAAAACCGGCCAGCCAGATGCACATAAGCCAAATTAAAGGTCCATCCAGATAACAACAAAACCCAAAATCTCAAGCAACCAAAAAGGTCCAAAATATCAACATTGATCCACCCTCCCCCAAATCAACGACACAGCACCCCAAAACAAACCCATAACCCAAAACAATTACATGAATCTTTTACGAAAGACAATCACGCTCAACCCAGATAAAATCACTACAAACAACAAAATTTTCTCCTCAATTATTTAATACAGTTACATACACGGTACTCAATACCATGTTTTAAATTGAAACAATTTCGCATAAGTTGATCCAAGAGTTCATGATACCCATAACATTATTATTAATACACAAACAGAGATAATCTTTAATCTTGTTTAACAGGCTAAAATCAAAATCGAAATGAATACTTAACACAACTGCAAGGCACAAACTAGAGATCATTTCTTAAACTGAAACAACGGTACGTCAGTTAATTGACACACCCAATGTTACCAATGATGGTAAAAAAACATTATTATTATTAGTAATAGCAGTTTCCCAGGTATATTGTGTTCGATCTCTGTTGTGTACGAAAATCTTATGACAAACCACAATCACAGTACCGCAAATATAATTAGTCTATGACCCAGGGAGCAAAAACCTTGTTTAAATGACAATTACAGTATTACGAGCAAAATTAGTCTCTGCAAAAGAGGAATGATTACAGTACTGCAAGCAGAATTAGTCTCTGACCCATAAGTCAAGGACAATTACAGTATTAAAAGCAGAATTAGTCTCTAACCCATAAGTTAGGGAAAATTACAGTACTGAAAGCAGAATTAGTCTCTGACCCATAAGTCAAGGTCAATTACAGTACTATGAGCAGAATTAGTCTGAGACCCATAAGTTAGGGACAATTACAGTACTAAGAGCAGAATTAGTCTTTTACCAAGAGCGATATAAGCATGACAAGATGAGAAAAAAGTAACGAATTGAGAAAGGTGGGAAAGGAGACTGACTCATGAGATTAAGGAAGAGGTGGTCGTTGATGAAGCGGGAGGCTTCGGCGCCGCCGTGGCCGTCGTAGACGCCGACGAAGACGGCGTCGGAGCCGGTCTCGACCTGGCTGTGATCCTCGATGATTTCGTTGGCCTGAACGACGGCGAAGGAGAACTCGCCGCAGGAGTGCTTTTCGAGGTCCCTGTGCCACACGAGGGCGTCGCCGGCGGTGGAGGCGTCGTCCAAGTCATCCTTGCTCATGCGCGCATACCGCCGCACCGGTCTCAAGCACGCCGACACTATCCTTGCCAGCCACGAAAACATCCCACATTTCCCTCCCTCACGGATCCCCAGAGAGAGAGAGAGCCAGAGCGCAAAAATCAAAACCACCCAGATGAGGTAGAAGCGGCTTTTGGCGATGGGGAGTGGATAAAATTTGAACTTTGAAGGAAGGGATTAGTGGGCACGCGAGGAAGAGTGTGGATTGCAATTGGGTGTGCACTGTGATGGGAAGAGAGAGAGAGAGAGAGAGAGGGTGGTGTTGGAAATAATGAAATGGGAGGATCTGGTGTTTGTGTTTAAGAGTAAAGAGGAAACTGAAAAAAGTTTAAATTCACGTTGTTGGCGGGTTGTACATGATGAATTGAATGAAGTTTTGTTAGTTTCTTGTTAGGATGGAAGGAGAAAAGAAGAAGAGAAATCTGGGAAAGAGGAAAATAGAATTATAGTTGAGTTTGACTTTGAGACGATGAAGAAGAGGGAGAAGACGAAATAGCGTATCAGCTTTCCTTTTGTTGAATTTCTAGTGAATTTTCTTTTTTCAGGCTCTACATCCAGATACACATACAGTAACACTAGTCACAGAGACCAACCAATAACTAATAAACTTGTCAATAAATAAATAAATAAAACAGATAGTATAAGAAAAAAACGACAAAAACAAGAATAAGATAAACTCTAAAATTTAGAGCACGAAAAGAAATTTAGGATTCAATATATTTTTAACGGTCAAAATTTGATTAGATTTAGTTTTAATCTTAAAATTTTAAATAATATTTTTATGACAATTTGAGTTTCTTGTAATTTATTTTTTTTTAAACAATTTATAATTTCAGTTCTTCAATCTTTTAAAATCTATAATTAAAAGCAACTCTAATGGGAGTTGTTTGTCCCATGAAGTAACTCAAGTCCTAGTTTCTTGCTATTGGAAGATTCTAACGTGGCAACATGAATTGCTTGAAGAAGAGAGAGAGTTGCTTCCTCAAGCAACCATTCCTTACCAGATTTCAAGCAGATCTTATTGAACATATTTGGGAACGTTTCGAAAATAATAATGATGAAAATTAATTTCGTATAATGTTTATGTATTTAGTGTTACTTTATTTTATTTTTAATATCTACTTATTGTGTATTTTTTTCTCGTAATTTATTTTCTTTCATCGTAGTGCAATTATCCTTTTTAATAAAAATTTAAATTTGATTTATAAAATGATTAGAAAAAAAAATTCTAAAAGTTGAATTTCATAAAATTTCTTACAATTGGAGTAAATTTGTGTTTGAGTTGCTTAATACTGACATGGCACACTAGAGACCACTATTTTCATTTTTTAATGCATGAAGCAACTCAAATGAATTGCTTGCGTTCAGTCAAAACTAAAACATTAATCATATCCAATATTAAATAAATAATATTATAATTTAATATTTAATAATATTTAAATTAAGTTTTTCTACTTATTATTATTTTATTCCCTAAAATTGATTAAAAAAAATGAAGTAAAATTTAAAATTAAAAATGTAATTTAGATCAAATATTATTAAATGGTAATTTTTATATGATGATTAAAAAAATTTACAATCAAAAAGATATATAATAAGAGGGTGCGAATTTTATAATATTAAGAATCTAAAATTATAAAATAAAAATTGAAAAAATAAAACTACAAATTAAATATTATAAGAAAAAAACGTTTAATTTAATATATTTTTAAAATGTTGCAATTTTCTTTCTAATCTAGCCAAAATCAAAATATAATATAAAAAGACAATAAAAGACATCATTTGTAAAAAAACAAAAAAAACAAAAACAAAAACAAACAAACAAACAAAAAAAACAAAAAAAAAAATCATCACATTTTAAAATATAACACAAAATTACGGTTTTTAAAACGTAGGAATTAATTGGTTAAAAACAAATGCATGAATTAAACTGTGGAAAATCTTGGTAAAAATAATCCTGTCAAGAAAAACGTAGCAATTAAAATAAATTTTGACCGAATCTTGATAGATATAAAATGTGTTTACATAAACGTTAATTTTAATTTATAACTGAAGAAAGTAACTATATAAATAGTTATATTTTAAATTTATTAAATGAAAATAAACAAAATTATCTGTTAAATATAAATTTATATAACATTTACTTATTTAATATTAAAAAAATATTTAATAAGATATATTGACTTTTTATAAAAAAAAATCGTTTCTAAAATCTTTATGAAACTGACATTAATTTAATATTTTCAAGAAATTAAATGGAAAAAAATGTGAATTGCATAGTTTTATAAAGACTTAATTACTATTTTGGTCTCATTTTATTTAATGAATTCAGTTTAATCTCTATATTATTAAAAATATTTAATTTAGGACAAATTGCATTAATTTGTATATGTGAAAGAAAAAAAATGATACATATCACTAAGTGTACAAAAATTTAACTTAGTATCAATTGAACTAAAAGATCACCTTACTTTGTTTTCAGAAAAATTAAAGGATCAGAATAAACTTTTTAATAAAAGAAGAATTAAATTAAATTAATTAAATAAGATAAGAGACTAACAGAGTAATTTAATTTTTTATAAATTCAAAACTAATAAATATAAATACGGTTAAAAAAAAAAGGTAAACTAAAGACAAAGAATTGGTATCTATGGAGCCCGTAAATTAACTAATATCATGTCATATGTGGTCTTAAAAAAAATTATAAATAAAAAAAAAAGACAAAGAATTCGCCATATTAAAATTAAATAATAGCATCACTCAATATTCAAATTATCCTTATATTGATTTTTTTTTTCCTCCAATGACCATTCTTTTGTTTTTGTCCTAAAGTTGACAAGATGACTGTATTTATTTAACTAATCACGATTAATTTCATATGGTTGAATAAAGAAATTGTGGACGGTGACCACCCTCCAACCCTTTCCACATTAAGAACAATTATTCCAAGCATTCACATTATTTATTCACTATTCAATTCAAGTTAACAAATTTACCACGCCTTCTTTTAAGTTCATCTATTAAAGAATGAATATATCACTACACGGTTTCAAATGTGATGGTGTTTTTATTTAAAATAATAATAATAATCATGATATTATTACAAAACATACAAAATCCTAAATCCTAAACCCTAAACATATAATATTATTATATGTGACTTTATATTTGTAAAGACAGAAAGATTTTCCGAAATTTGTATGTTGCTTGTATTCTAGCTACATTTTTGTTGGCTAGTCAAAGGAGTAGGCCAAAAGGGTTTGGGGACATTAAATTTTGGAGTCCAATGATTGCATATTTTGCACAAATTATTTGAAGATGGATGAAGATTGGCCACAAAAGTTATGGTGTGTGAAGGAGGGACACCTGTAATTGAGTAGTTGTGGCTTATAAATTGTGCAACATGTTTGGATGGATTAAAGGGTAGAGGGCAAGTTGTTTTCCAAGGAAAAATGGAAAGTCACTTACACACATGTGGCATGTGAAGTGCCCCTTTCTCAATCCTCTCCCTAACCCTAACTCACACAGTTGCATTAAAGGCTTGTGGTTGCTACCTAGGAGGCATGGACCATTTCATTTTCATACCCAAAATAATTAATTACTCTTTCTTTTTCATTATCACATGCTTCTTCCACAAGGGCTTCATTTCATTGTTCATTGCTCTCCCTTAAGTCATTCTTTTCAATTTTTCAACCCCAAGGTCATGAGCCTATCATCTACTACCCATGTTCTATGCCTAAACAGGCCTGGGTCTATTTGGTAGGGTGGATGGAAAATAAAAGAAAAGGCAATTTTTTTTATATAAAAAAAAATTATCTGTTTTTGGTTCAGTTTTATTTTAACTAGATAAAAAAATTATAAATTATTTTGTGTAACTTTTATTCTGTGTCGTTTCCTTCCACATCATACACGTTGCTTTAATCTTAAAGCGTGTATATGTAAGGTTGTTAGAAAGGGGGTTTACCCCATTAGGGAAGATTCTCCCGTTCCTATTCCTGATTCTCGTAGGTCCGAATAATTTGATCTACATTTTCTTTAGGGTTTAAATCCAAATTTTGTGGATTGAAATAATCCATGTTTTCAAAATTGGATCCCTTATCAAATCTATGGATCTAAACACTGATCTAAACACTGATTCAAAGTTTTATAGTTGAATTGTGATAAATAAAATAATAATAATTATTATTAATTTAAAAATAATATTAAATAAATATAATATAATAATTTTATAACAATAAAAATTATAATAAAATGTTATTTATAATTTTTTAACATTTAATGTGATATAATATTTAAATTTTAAACAAAATATAATATAATATTTAAGTCTAAATTTTAATAAAATATAAAAAAAATCTAATAATAATAATAAGTTTACTTTTTGAATAAAAAATGTCAAATTAATATAATATAAATTATAAAAAAAAGATATTAAAAATTAGAAATTAACATAAATGATTAGATTATATTTATAAGACAAGTATTAAAAATAAGTTATTAAGATTTATAATTTTTTAAACATGTATTTTTATTAAAAATATTTTAAATTAAATTTTAAAAATAAAAAATTAATTGAACCAGTTTGACCATTTTTTTTTATCAATTTTGATCAATTGTATCAATTTTTGACCGGTTCATTATCAAAATATTTTGAAAACCAACCAAACCAATTGAAGGCTAGTTCTCAATTAGATTCTGTTCATTTTTTAAATCATGGTAATAACATAATTGATAGAATAGATCTCACTACAATTTTAAAATTAGACAGGTCAAAGTCAAACCAATCAAATTACTAGTTTTAAGTTCAAAAGTTTAATTGTTAATGAACCTTGATTGAATTAATAATAATAAGGCTAAATTACAATTTTGCTCTTTCTATTTTTATCAATTCATAATTTTGGTCCTCTATTATAAAATAGAGACCTTTATTCCCTTTAATTTTAAAGTAATGGAATTTCAGTCCTTCCATCAAATTGATATCTATTAATCGTTAAGTTTTAACATTTACACATATTTAAATAATATAAGATTAGTAACATGACATTTAGAAATTAAAAAAAAAACTAAAAAAACATATAAATAAATTTTTTATTAATAAAATAAATGTCAATCACCTGTAAAAATAGATACAAATGAAAATCTTGTGTACATTATTTTTAATTTTTATTCCTATATCTCATATCACTAAATATCACATCACGTAAGTAGTGACACATCATGAGACAATGTTAAAATTTAATAATCAACAAAATTCAAATTGATGAGAGAACCAAAATCTTGTATTTAAGAAAATAGGAGGACTAAATATCTATATTTTAAAATAGAAGAACTAAAATTTTGTATTTAAAATAGGAGTACTACTACTACTACTACTACTACTACTACTACTAGAAGTCTTTTATTCAGGAGGAAAGTATGCATGTATTCATGGGCTCTTAAACAAGCTACATCAAACACAACCAACAATGCAAAAGCATAATGTTATCTCCATCATATTGTCATACCTTTATGTTTAGACTTCTCAAACGACCAAACCCTATCGATATTTTCATCAATTTCAAGTCACTGTCTGGACTTCCT